CTAAATACAATGCAATACTATAATCTGATACCTTCACAGTGTTATGAATTTCAGAGGTCATTAGGTTTCTAGCTGTTACAATCACATCCTGACACTTCTTGTTAGCAAAATGACAATTGACGTTTCGGGCATATTTTAGCAAATCAGTTGTATCTCCTTTTAAAAACCTCATCTCCTTTAGGGCATTCTCAAAATCTTCAGTGGACTGTATGATCTGAGGGAAAGATAAAAAAAAAATTATGTGCATACATTCCATTTCAACAATGTACAGAAATGAAAAAGGATCAACGGGGCATCTAAGTGTTTAAAACAGCCATAATTACTGGGTATAAAAATGTATACTTTCCCATTCTTAAATTCACTAGGAAGAGTATCTTCAACAGAAATCTCTAGCTTCACTGACTAAAGGTAGAAAGATCTTTAATATAAACACTTATTTCAGTGTTAGAGGAAAACCAAAAAAGCAGCAAAATAAGTGACATAGTAGCTACTATATCTTGTACAAGAACCACAAAACAGTTTCTTTTTGAATTATCTTAGTAAAGAAAATACACTTAATAAGAAAGCATACTTCTCCAAACAAAAGCTACTGTTATTAATACTTTTCTTAAAGATGTGGCAAAAGAACAAAAGATTTCCATGGACAATCAAAAATCACCAAGAGGAACCTATAGTCTCTATAACCTGTGATATCTCTGTTCTTACCTCTTCATACTGCTGTAACTTGCTGCTATTTGTTGGGATAGAATAAACCAAACAGTTTTTAATGAGGCACTCAGATAAGTCCTCCCAGATCATGTCACCAAGCATCTCAGCCAAAGTGATCTTAGATGTTTTTTCATTTTCTAGGTCATTATTAAGAGGTAAATCTGAATTCAAAAGAAAAAGTTTTAAACAAGAAACCAATCATCATATGGATATATTCTTAAGTTCCCTAGTTGTCTAGAATTCTTTAATTTTAAGATGATGAGGAAAACAATGCAGATAATTCTATAGCTACCTCAACAGATTATGTGGAATAAAACAAGACATACAATTATTTCATTTTCACTGCTCAAAAGCACAGTTTCACTGCCTGGACTCTGTAACAATAAGATATTACACCAACCACATTATAATTTTCTACTGATAATCTTATATGACAAGCACTCAGAAGTTCCACATATCAGTTTAAAACTAGGTTAGACTAAAATCTCAGTTCATTAATATTAAATAAACATATTTTTATCTATGCATAGTATCTGAATATCCTAAGTAAAATAAACACCTTACATAATAGAGTAATATCTATATTACTACCAAACAGGATTCTTAAATATTTATTTTATAGTATATCTTATATTGCTTATATAACACATTTTGAGTGAGTTATATTTAGAATAAACTATTAATTAAATAATAACTAAGAAAAGGTTACTGTAAAAGGGACCAGCTATTTTTGAACCTATTTCTAATTCAACAAAGTAGAACTTAGGGGATAGAATCTTAATGATACTATTTCATAGCCTTGATCCTTGAGCTACCTTATAACGTTTAAGACTAGGTTACACTGCCCAATAGACTAGCTACAAGCCACATTTTGCAACTGAGCAAGCACTTGCAGTGTGGCTAACTGTGATTAGGAAAATAAATTTTCTGAATTTGTAACTACCTTAAATTTAAGTTAAAACTAAGGATATAGAGCACAAGTGCGTCTTGTGGTAATGCAATAAATAGATCTGTGTCTTGATTGTAATGATGGGTACATGAATCTATGCACATAACAAAAGTGCATGAAACTAACATACACACAAAATGAGAGCAGGCAGCCTAGTAAAACTTGAATAAACAGTGAATTATACCAAAGGCAATTTTCTGGTTTTCCCATTATTCACATGTTTCACAGTTACACATGTTAACAGTGGGGAAAACTGCATGAAGGGTTCACGGGACTTTGGTAAATTTTTCTAATAAAAAATTTTAAGTAAGGCCCTCCTTGGTGGCGCAGCGGGTTAACGCACAGCACAAAGAAGCTTAAGCCACTTCCGCATGAGTTCCATCCCCGCCTGCCCTGAAGGAGATCCACATGGCTCGGCAGACCTCTCCTGACCCCCCCCGCTGCTCCCCTCAGCAGTGTACTTCGTCGATCTGCCTGTTCTGTACCCCGCTGTGTCTCTGGTGAATCCTCTCACCCTCCGCATCTCTGGCCTGTACCCCAGTTCTGTACGAATAAATAAATAAATCTTTTTTACAAAAAATTTTAAGTAAGTGTGAAATATTTTCTGTAAAATGTTTATTTTTTTGCTAAGATTATATTTCATTTTAATCACTGTATCATGTAAGACATTATGCTGTATGGTAGTGCTCATGTCAGGCATGCACATTATTTCTAGAATTTCACAAAATCACTAATCCAGTTGGTGTAAACAGATTTGTCTACTTGACTTTTTCCCTAAGCACCAATGTAGCTGTGTATCTGAATATTTTATGTGGATTATACAAATAACAGATGTGTATATAAACTGTAAAAATAGTTAAACTAAAATACTTGATTATATAATTATTTTTCTAGGTTAAGAAAATTATGGGCCAATTTTTAAATTTAAAAGAATCAAGTGAAGATGCAGAAGTCAATAGTACCACTGGAACAGTAGAGGAAAATGGGGATTAGAAGAAAATCTGACACATATTTCACAACAAATGGCAGCTGTAATTTGCTAAAACAGCAAAACAAAACCTGCTTGTTACCAAGGAAATTTTTCTTTCTTTCTTTTTTTTTAAAAAAAAGATTTATTTGTGGCCCTCCCTTGTGGCGCAGCGGGTTAAAGCACTGCACTAAGAAGCTAAAGCCACTTCCGTATGAGTTCGATTCCCGCCTGCCCCGGAGGTGATCCACATGGCGAGGCAGACCTCTCCTGGCCTGCCCGCTGCTCCCCTCGGCAGTGGACTTCGTCAATCTGCCTGTTCTGCTCCCCATTCTGTCTCTGGTAAATCCTATCATCCTCTGCATCTCTAGCCTGTACCCCAGTTCTGTATGAATAAATAAATAAATCTTTTTTTAAAAAAAAAAAGTTTCCTCATAGTTTTCTAAGTTTCCATACAAATAATTTCTCTTGCCATTATCGATATATAAAAATGATGTGTGTGTTTGTGCACACATGCATGCAAGTGCAAGAATCCAAGTCATTTTACAGCTGGCCTGTTGAAGTCACATTTTTTTATTGGATATTTAATTGTCATTTCCGATGACTAGTTTTCTCAAATCCTTTTTGAAAGAGCTTGACAAATTCCAAATATAGTTGCTGAAAATGTCTTTTCTTGTTGTTCTCTACTCTCCTTAAAAAAAAAATTTTCGGCCCTCCCTGGTGGCGCAGTGGGTTAAAACACAGCACTGAGAAGCTAAAGCCACTTCCGCATGAGTTCGATTCCCGCCTGCCCCGGAGGTGACCACATGGCGCGGCAGACCTCTCCTGACCCGCCCGCTGCTCCCCTCGGCAGTGGACTTCGTCAATCTGCCTGTTCTGCTCCCCATTCTGTCTCTGGTAAATCCTATCATCCTCTGCATCTCTAGCCTGTACCCCAGTTCTGTATGAATAAATAAATAAATCTTTTTTTTTTTTTTAAGATTTATTTATTCATACAGAACTGGGGTACAGGCCAGAGATGTGGAGGGTGAGAGGATTCACCAGAGACAGAGTGGGGAGCAGAACAGGCAGATCGAGGAAGTACACTGCCGAGGGGAGCAGCGGGCAGGCCAGGAGAGGTCTGCCGCGCCATGTGGATCACCTCCGGGGCAGGCGGGAATCGAACTCATACAGAAGTGGCTTTAGCCTCCTAGTGCTGTGCTTTAACCCGCTGCGCCACCAGGGAGGGCCAGGAAGCCATTTTTTTAATGTGAAAGATCTTTAAGTCACTATTGGATATTACCTATAATATTCCAATATTTCTCATACTGTCAAAGATCAATTGATTCAACATCTGAAAAACTGCAAATACTTTCCTTTAGCATTAGGTAAGACTGAGTATATTCCATATAAAAGAACATCTAAATTTTCAAAGAAATACTGTCAGTTCACAGTCTAAAAATTCAAATTTGCAATGCAATCTTTTTTAATCTCGTAAAAATTAAATGATTAGACATAGCCAAGTCATGGAAACAACTCAAGTGTCCAAGAATAGATGAATGAATTAAGATGTGACTACTACTCAGCAATTAAAAAAAAAATTCTTTCTTGCCGTCTGTGATAATAGATGGAACTGGACAGGATAAGACTAAGCAAAATAAGTCAGAAGAAAAAATACAAATACCAGATAGCTTCACTTGTATGTGGGACATAGAGAAACAAAACAAAGGGCCAATCAAAACTAAACCAGTAACAAACCCTAGAAATCTGTGAGTCAAACTAAGGCTACAAGAGGGATTGGAAGAGGGTGGAGAGCAATGTGTGGAAGGGGCCAGGGGACTATGGCAGAGGACTCTGGGTCTCTTGGGGTGGGAGTGGCTGGTGACATGTCTTGGAGCAGGTGTGATACACCTCTGAATCACAAGTAAAACAATACCACCTTAGTAAAATGAAATTTTTTTTTAAAAAATCTAATGACCGGAAAAGAAAGTTTAAAATTTTTCTTTTTACCCTTTTCTCTCAAAATTGTGTTTAAAATATATTTTATATATATTTATATGATGTTTAAATATACATATTTTGAAAATTAAGAAATTATAGTTTAAATATAGCAAAATTGAAGAACCTCACTTTTTCTTCTATGAAATAAATTTAGAAAACAAAGTAAATGTCATTCGTAAGAATACTGACAAAAAAGAAATTTCAGCTCAACATAAAAAATTCATGTTTATCACAATAGTGTTCCAATGCTGTATCAAGCAAAAAGTGCACATTTATTGGAACTTTAACACAACACATTCATGGCATAATATATATTTGTGTTTTACTGAAAACAGAATCTATAAAGCGTATCATGAATATAGTTGTTAAAGTAATTCAAGATATATATCTATACATAAGCAAATTCTATAAATTATCACTGTTCATATAACTGTTGAAAGAAACAGGCAATAAATATAATCTTGTATCTTGCCAAAGCTCATTAGTTGAGTCAGGCAGAGTTTACTGCAGTTATCTCCTTAAAACAATAGTAATGCTTGCGAGACATTAAATAATCAAAGATAAAAAACAGCAATATATTTTGTTTTCTTGCTGATATCACACTAAATATGAATAATCTGAATGAAAGTTGGAAAGGCAAGGAAAAGCTCACTTAAGATATGGCTAAACAGATGCAAAAATTTATATAGAAATTACACTTTTCATAATGCAAATCAGTAAGAACTTCACCCATTTTTCTAATAAAACTCAAGATTTTGATTGTAATCACTAAAATGGTTGCCAAAAATACCAAGAGAATTTGATGAATGCTTTACTGATATTAATAATATCAGAGCTTTTCTTTAAATACAACTTTGAATTATTTCCAAGTTAATAATATTAATTTGATGTATGTATTAGTAAACTTATTTAACTTAGTCATAGTTTTGAAATTGATACACTTTTACTTCAAAGTCAAACCAATTCTTTTCAATGAAATTAAACCAAAGCTGTCAATGTGGATAAAAATATTAAAAGCAAATGATTTTTTGGTACTTAGTGCAGATACTGGAAAACTTTTTAATGTATACCTGGAAGAATATATTTTAAAAGTACAGAATTACTTTTCCAATTGTAAATTTTATGACATCTAAATATGTCTATTATTTCTAGAAAAACTGTATTTAAATTGATATAATAAGCACAAATTACACAATCTGGAAGCATTTGTATAAAAATATATGAAATACTCATTAATATTTGAAATGATTTCTTGACTATATTGAATAAAATAAAATATATCACTAAATATAAGTTCATGTTTTTGACACTTTTTTAAAAAGATTTATTTATGCATACAGAACTGGGGTACAGGCCAGAGGTGCGGGGGTGAGAAGATTCATCAGAAACAGTGGGGAGCAGAGCAGGCAGATTCCTGAAATACACTGCTGAGCGTGGGTGGGTCAGAGGAGGTCTGTCACACCATGTGGGTCACCTCCCTGGCTGGGGATCAAACTCATGCTACAGTAGCTGCAATAGCTTCATAGTGTGCTTTAACCCATTACACCACCAAGGAGGGCCCTGTTTTTGACATATTTAATGTGGCTACTGGAAATTTTTAAATTCTGATACATGGCTCCCATTTTATCTCTTTACTTCTTTAAAATGGTGAGCTAGACATAGTATATAAGTACAGGTACCATCTTACTCAAGTAGTATAAGCAACTGATAAGGTTCCCTGCTCCAAAAAGACTTCTTCAGTGGATATATGCACACATAGCAGAGAGAGAAAAGTGTAATACATAGGTGTGATTACACTGTATAAACCATTTTTTATCTTCTTTTCCCTTTGAGATTATATCACATACATTTCACAATTGAAAAGTATTTTCACTATTGAAAAGTATTCTATTCCTGTTTTAGGTAATTTCTTATTAGGAGAGGTTACTGAATTTGTTACAATATTTTCTGTATCTAGAAGCGAAACAAATGCTGACAAATGAACTGTTTGGAAGACTTCTTTGCACACCTAGAATAAACCCCTAAGGAGTCATCCTTTTTAAAGTTACTGTTGAATTTAATTTATAGGGTTGGTAGGACCCTTGATCTTGGCCTTTTGGTCTCCAAAGGTGTGGGAAAATAAATTTCTATTATTTAAACAACCCAGCCCTTTATTAGTTTTTTTTTTCACCTATGTCTTCTCCTTTCTTATTAAATTTATCTTTAAGAATTTTATAGATTTTGCTCCTCTGACAAATAAAATATCTTTATATTTTAATTTATGACTGTAATAGTTGAGAGAAGTTATTCAATTTTATAAATGTATACTGTATCTAGAAAACTTATTAAACTTCTTAAAAACTATAAAAGTTTCAGTAGATATTTCTGGTTTCCTCAGCAACAAATATATTATTTACAAGTAATTTTTTCTTTATTTTAATATTCATACCAATTGTATTTTCTCTTTTTGTATCAACTATAATCTCTAAAATGCCAAAGAATATTAATGGTAGTGTGTTTTCCTGGCTTATAATTGATTTTGATGAAATTAGTTTTTCTATCCTTTAATATACTACTTGATACTGATTATTTAGAAACAATACATTTAAGGAAGAAGAACATAATTTTGTAAAGTAGTCATATATAGCTTTGTAATTACTTCCCTATTTTCAAGATTTATTATTTCCCAGTACTTAAATAATATAAATAACTTCACAATGAACATGCTTATAAACAAACAGTTTTGCATATTTACATATTTAAGATTATTTGGGGGGCAGACTCTTACAAGATGAAATTCGAGTGTAAAGAACATAAACATGCTAAATCTTTTCATAATCTTTTTATAATCTTTTTTCCAACTACTTTCCAAAAAGAATTTTCATTCCTTCCCTTTGGTATAATGATACTTAATAATAAAATAAGTAGGGGGGAAAATGCATTTTCAAAAACGCAAAGAGCATGTAACCTAAGGAATCAAAAATGGCCTTCAGATTATATTTAGAACAAGATAAAAGAAGGCAATGTTGATTCACAGGTATCAAAGAGAAGACAGATGTCCTAAACCCTTGTTTGTCCTCTGTACTGCTAGAGGTAATAATGTCTGAATCTAAAGGAAAGGAAATAGGTCTAAAACTCCTAACAGAGATATGAAGAGCACCTAGGACCATGTGAGTTCTGCTGAATATCCTAGGTACTAAAGTACTTTTTTGATTACAAATAAAACATATTGAGCAAATATTAATTTAATGGACCAACGTCAAAGCAGAAAAAGGTTTCTACTGATTTTCCCAAAATACCCTGAACTTTGGCCTTCCCTCCGATAACGGCATCATCATTATATAACAGACTTAGGTTATATAAGAAAACAGCTATATATGCAACATGAAATAGAAAGGATAGTAAACACATTGCAAAATCTTAATTAAAATTTAACAAAGATTTTTAGCTCCAAACATCAAGTACAAGATGAAAGAGGAGCAATTTGTGATAAGTATGACAAAGGATTTTCATTAACATTAAACTCATTAACTGTGGAATAGCCTTTGACAACATTAAAAGAAGCATGAAACTGAGAATGAGGAACATGAATGTTCTATATTACTCTAAATCAGCTCAAACTGTACCTAGAAAGCTTTGCTTTGTAATATATTTACAGAAGAACAACAAAGATGAGGGGAACTTAAAATTATGCCACTGAAGAAAAACCCAAGTGTGGTTATACTGATGTTAAAATGTGTGGGGCAAGTAACAGCTCCTGTAAAGAATCTGAAAGTCCATCACATATAACAGGAATTAGATTTGCTCTCTACATGCCATACGGTAGAAATAGCATGAATAAAGCAGACATTCCAGGGGAATATATTTTGAACAGGTTTTTAAATAATTACCCTAAAGATCTCATTTAAAAATGAGCACTTTGGGGCCCTCACTGGTGGGGCAGCGGGTTAAAGCAC